CTGAGACACTCAGTCTTTTCAGAGTCAGAGACAAGTTCCTTTTTCAGGTTCTTGAATTTGACTCTGATTTGCTGATACCTTTCCAGAATTTCATTTAGACTTTCTGCAAGTTCAGCTTTAGTGAAATTAATAGAAAAGTTAGGGAATACATCTTCAGTGTTTGATTCTGAGTTTGAACCAGAAGCTTCACTGTCTTCTGACACGTTTTCCATGAGAGTTATGTTTGCTCTTTCATCATCTGACTCTGAGTCAGCTTCAGAGGTGTCCGAATCGTCCCATGTTGCCATGAGGCTTTTCTTCTTTTCCTTGAAAGATTTCTTTTTGGGCTTCTCCTTCTGAAGCCTTGGGCAGTCACTTTTGTAGTGCCCTTGCTCATTACACTCATAACAGATGATGTCTTTGTTATTTGGCTTTGTGTCCTGAAGAACCTTCAGATCTTCCATGTCCAGAGGAAGACTCAAACTTTCTGTATCTGAAGGAGGATTCATTTTGATTCTCTGATCTTCTAGGATTTCTGAATTTCCTTTGTCTCTGCTTCCACAGTTGATTCACCCTTCTGGAGAGGAGAGAGAATTCATCTTCTTCTGATGAGGATCCATCAGAAGTTTCTTCCATAGCCTGCAAAACCTTAGAGTCAGATTTTCTGTTAGATTTTAAAGCTAGTGGATTACCTTGCTTTTGAGGCTCATCTTCTTCTAGCTCTATCTCGTGACTTCTGAGGGAGCTGACAAGTTCCTCCAGAGATATCTTGTTGAGATCTTTGGCTAGCTTAAGTATTGTGACCATTGGTCTCCATTTCTTGGGTAGACTTCTGATGATCTTCTTTACGTGATCAGTAGTAGAATATCCTTTGTCAAGAACCTTCAACCTAGCAACAAGGATCTGGAATCTTGAGAACATTGTTTCTATGGATTCAGTATCTTCCATCTTAAATGCCTCATACTTCTGAATGAGCGCAAGGACTTTGGTTTCTTTGACTTGAATGTTGCCTTCATGCGTCATTCTCAGAGAGTCAAACATATTTTTGGCTGTCTCTCTGTTTGAGATTTTCTCATATTTTGAATATGAGATAACACTAAGGAGTATTGTTCTGGCCTTATGATGGTTTCTGAAGTCACGTTTCTGCTGGTCAGACATCATTTTTCTGTCTATCTTCTGACCCCTTCCATCCACTGGATGTGTGTATCCATCAGTTACCATGTCCCATAGATCAGCATCATGGGCCAGAAAGAAACTTTTAATTCTATCTTTCCAGTAGTCAAAATTTTCTCCATCAAAGACTGGAGGTTTGCCACTGATTCTGTCCTTGTCTTCATGGTAGTCATTGCTGATGTTTTGGCTTGGTCCCACCATAGTGTTTTTCTGAAGCTTGGATCTTGTACTGACACAGTTAAGTGTATGAACTCAGAACCAGGCGCTCTGATGCCAATTGAAGAAGTGAAAAACACAAGAAGGGGAGGGGGGTGAATTGAAAAACTTGAAATCAAATGCGTAATGACACAGTATTTTTATCCTGGTTCATTTGATCTCAAACTACTCCAGTCCACCCGTCAAGGTGATTTTGCCTCTCTCCAACGAGGTCTTAATCCACTAATCTCAAAAGGATTACAATCACTACTTTAACAACTGTTAAAGTCTTCTTGAGTACAACCACAATCCAGTTAATCTCAAGGAACACTATCTTAAACAAATAAACAAGAATGTGTGTACAGATGTTTTTCGTTACAAAAATAGTTATCACAACTGTGATATTTTACAAAAATTTAGAGCGTGGAATAGATGAGTAAGCTTGCAGCATTTTTTGAATTCTCGTGTAGTAGTCTATGCAAAACGTGAACGATTTGATCACTGAGCTTGTTTATATAGGCAATGGATTCCTGTTGAACATTAAGCGTGATAAATGTCATTAACCTAGTTTCCATTTGGAGAAGATCCTGTCTGAATGAAGCCGTTGTAATTGATGCTGTCTTGAATGAGTAGTAACACTTCAGAATCTTACATCCTTGCCTGCTGCTGATGCTTCAGAACATTGATGACTTAGATTATTATGCTCTTGTTCAGAATCAGAGTTTACTTCACTTAAGCGCAGGTTCTGGTCATCAATCTTCAGCGCAAATTCTGATTACTTCAGCGTGTAGCTTCTATAGCTTAACTTCTGACGCTACTTTGGTCAGAACTTCTGTATACACAATAACATAATTTTTAGGGTGCATATTTGTTCTTTTTATTTGTTATCATCAAAACTCTAACTAAGGGTTGTAGAATCAAACTATGTTCTAACAACTTAAACTACAAAGGATTGAAGACATTGCAAACAAAGAAAATGGTGTGCGATTCGCCACTACTTGAAGCCTCAAGTGTCACTTGTGCTGATTGTTTCATCGAAAAACAACATTGCAATCCAATTCCAAAAAAGAGTGAATGGCATGCCAACAAGATCTTGGAACTCATACATGCAAACATTTGCAGACCTATAGAGCCAATCTTAAGCAGTGGAAGAAGGTACTTATTATTATTTATCAATGACTATAGTCGAAAGGGATGACTCTATTTTCTCATTCAAAAATCAAAAGTTTTAGAGTGTTTCAAGAATTACAAGAAGTTAGTGGAAAAAGAAGAAGAAACGTCCATAAAGTGTTTGAGGACAGATATAGGTGGATAGTTTAACTCTCCCAATTTCAAATTATTTTATGAAGAAGAAGGAATAAAGAGACAAATTACTACAACATATACACCACACCAAAAATATAGTAGCAGAATGCAAAAATAGAATCATGATGAATATGGTACGCTGCACGCTCTATGCAAAAAAGGTTCCCAAATTGTTTTAGACTGAAGCTGCTAATTGTACATTCTACCTGCTGAATCGATGCCCAATACATGCTATGAACAACATCACTCCTCAAGAAGCTTGGATCAGAGTCAAGCCTTAAGTATACACCTTCGTGTTTGGGGCTGCATATTACACATGCATATACTAGAGGAAAAACAAGATAAACTTAATGATAAAAGTTTTCTTTGTATTTTGTTGGGAGTAAGTCATGAGTCAGAGGGTTATTGTCAGTTTGAACCTAAGACAAAGAGGATTGTGGTTAATAAGGATGTAATATTTGAGGAAGAAAAGAGTTAGGATTGGGGTAAAAAAATTAAAGAACAAATAAATGCATATTTAGTTTGGAGTGTTGATGACAGTGGCAGTGAAGATGATGGGAGCAACGAAAGTAAGAATGAAATAGAAAGTTCTCATGAAAGTGAGACTCATAGTAGAGAGTGGAGGCCTCCAATTTGGATGAAAGATTATGAGAGTGGTGATTGGTTAAATGAAGAAGATGCAGAGGCCTACATGGTTCAAAATGTTATAAGTAATGATCCAACTCTGTATGAGGAAGCTGTGAAGCATGAGAAATGGAGAAAGACTATGGAGTATGAAATAAATTCAATTGAAAATAATAAAACGTAGGAGCTAATGAATCTATATGTTGGAGCCATAAAAACGAGACTTAAATGGATTTTCAAGACAAAATTGAATGAAAAGGGCGAGGTAGACAAGTATAAGGCTCGATTGGTGGCAAAGGGGTACGGTCAACAACACGAAATTAATTTTACTGAAGTTTTTTCTCCCGTTGCTCGCATGGATACAATAAGAATGACCATGGCTCTTACAACATGTAGAGGATGGGACATCTTTCAACTTGATGTCAAATATGCGTTTCTTTATGGTGAATTAAGCGCGAACATATACGTTGAGAAACCAAAAAGGTTTGTGAAGAAAGGAAAAAACACAAGTTTACAGTTACATAAAGCCTTATATGGCTTAAAGCAAGTGTTGAGAGCATGGTTCAGTCATATAGAGTTGCATTTCATGAAGGAAGGTTTTCAAAAATGTCCAGATGAACAAACCTTGTTCATCAAAAGAAGTACATGAGGTTATATATTAATCGTTAGTATTTGTTTCGATGATTTAATTTATACAGATAATGACGAGGTCGTGATGATTGAGTTCAAAAAGTCTATGATGAAAGCTTTTGATATGATTGATTTGGGAAAGATGAAATTATTTCTTATCATAGAAATTATGTAGAAATAAGAAGAGATTTTTGTATGTCAAAAGAAATATGCCACTGATATTTTAAAGAAGTTTACAATGTCTAAAAGCAAGTTTGTGAATAACCCATTGTTCCAGGTTTTAAGATGAATAGAGATGTTAATGATGCACTTGTAGATAACACTTACTTCAAGCAAATTATAGAAAGTCTAATGTATCTTACGGCTACAAGACTGAATATCATCTTTAGTGTGAGCTTAATTAGTAGATATATGTCAAAACCAACATAATTGCATTTATAAGTTGCGAAACATATATTATGGTATTTGAAAGGAAATGTTAGGTATGGAATTTTCTACAAAAAGGAAGGGGAGGAAGAATTGTTTGCTTTCAAGATTCTGATTATGTTGGAGATGAAGAAGATTTTAAAAGCATTTCGGATTATGTTTTTCTATTAAGTTCAAAAGCAGTATCATGAATGTTAAAAAAAAACCGATTATTACACTTTCAACTATTGAATTAGAGTTTGTTGTTGCTTGTGCGAGTGCTTATCAAGCTGTATGGATGAGAAGGATTTTGAGAAATTTAAGTCATGTTCAAGAAAGAAACACTATTATCATGTACGACAATAACTCAACAATTAAACTATAAAAAAAAATCTGATAATACAAGGAGCAAGCATATAAGAGTGCATTCATGCCATATGTGATTTGAACTACATCACTAAATAATCAATACTAAATATTTGAATTTGAATAAACCAAACTTTTGCACTAATGACCAACCTAACACAACCTAACCTGGTGACAAATGAAAAACAAATGAGTATCTTCATCAGAACAGAACCATTGGATCATGCCACAGATACGCTGACGTGTCACATAGTAAAAATACAACGTCAGACACAATTATAACCGTGACAGTGACACACACAGACAGTGACACCAGTAAGAAGAAAGAAATCAATGAAGAAAGAGAACACAAGATTTCACTCTTTTTCCCATTTATTTTTTCGAGATTTTACAATCCTAAGCTCGAAAACCTCACAAAACCGCCATTCCATACTTCTCTTTGGATCACACTTTTTTCTTTCTCTCTCTCTTCCTTTTTTTTTTTGTCCTGCTTGAAGCTTTTTGTATCGCATTCCAAACTTAGCCCACAAATTTTGACTCTTCTATCTAACTCTTTGATTCAGTGGAATGTAAATGAAGCTAAGATGAACAGTTTCCGTTTCTGGGTTTTACTACTTTCTGTATCTTTTTCTTTCTCTGCCTAGTGTCAAGCAGCAGGAGTTTTCATGGCAGCAAAGCGCGTGTACCAAGTTTGGAAAGGAAGTAATGTAAAGCTCTCTCCTTTTCCATCTTTTCCTTCTATTTTTAGCTCAAATTCCATTTGGGTATGCTCTAGATTTCTGAGTCTGTGATTTGCTGGAATGTGGAAGTGAAATGGGTTATTTAAGCTACTAGTTAGGTGTGTGTTGAATAGTGAGGTAGTATTGGGGTGCTGAGATTTTGCTTTTTTGTTTTGTTGGTTCTGCAATTTTGAATAACCAGCTGTTTCTATCAACTCTACTTATTGTGACTGGGTCTGTGTTCTTTTGTGTTTTGGAGGATTAAAAGTATGCAGATTTCAGATTTGACATTTCTAGCTTAGTTGATAAGTATTGTTGAGGAAAGATGATATTCATGTATGATGTTTTTTTTTTTTGTGATTCTGTGCTTTGTTTCCAATCTCTGATACTATCTTTTTTGAACAATGTAGCATTTTGTTAATTTCAGAAGTGCTTTTTGTTTCTCATGAGATGAACTGTTTTCTGCTAATTGTTGCCTTCTTATCGTAGCTCATGTTTTTCTCCTAAATATTTTGCAGAAATTCATATTTGGAGGGAGATTGGCATTTGGGCCTGATGCGAGATCTCTACTTATCACTTTTTCGCTGATTATTGTTCCGGTCATCATCTTTTGTGCATTTGTAGCAAGACATCTTCGGCATGAATTTTCTTCATATTATTCGGGATATGCTATTTTAGTAGCGGCAATTCTCTTTACTATCCATGTAAATTCTGTTGATTTTTCTTTCATTATTTGATGTTTTATCCATTTATCAACTTAATCCCTTAGTATATATTTATAGGTCCTGGTGCTCCTTGGTCTTACTTCCGCGCGCGATCCGGGTATTGTTCCAAGGAATTCACATCCACCGGAAGAAGAGTTTCGATATGAGTCTTCTGGGGTAGGCGGACAACAAACGCCAACCCTTCAGTTCCCAAGAACAAAAGAAGTAATGGTCAATGGCATTCCTGTGAAGGTGAAATATTGTGAAACTTGTATGCTGTATCGTCCTCCTCGTTGCTCGCATTGCTCCATATGCAACAACTGTGTTGAGCGTTTCGATCACCATTGTCCTTGGGTGGGCCAATGCATTGGACTGGTACGACACAATCTTGATACATGTTTTCTTCTTTGTTGATATTCTTTGGTTATTCATTTTCTCTCGTTCTAATTTGTTTTCGGCCGGCCTTTCCAATGTGCAGAGGAACTACCGTTACTTCTTTCTGTTTGTTTCTTCCGCAACGATTCTGTGTGTCTACGTGTTTTCTCTATCGGCTTATTACATCAAGGTTTTGATGGATAATAATAACAATGGTACAGTGTGGAAGGCCATAAAAGAATCCCCGGCATCTGTGATATTAATGGCATATTGTTTCATCTCTCTGTGGTTTGTTGGTGGACTAACCGGTTTTCATCTGTACCTTATCGGCTCAAACCAGGTCAGTCAATTTACTTCACAATTCCGATTACTATATCTTTTTTTTATATCTCATTCGTCACCTTTGCAGACAACCTATGAAAACTTCCGGTACAGAGCGGATGGCAGGATCAATGTTTTTAATCGCGGTTGTTTAAATAATTTTCTGGAAGTGTTTTGCACAGAAATAAAGCCATCCAGGAACAATTTCAGGGCTTTTGTTCAAGAGGAGGTGCAAAGGCCTCTGACTCCGGTCTTTACCCGGGGACATGAACCAGGTGATATGAGTGGTGATCGTCGTCCTAAAGTTGAACATGATCTAGATATCGGTGAAGATCTATTGAAGATATCACAGCGTAGGAATATTGAAGAGCTCGACGAGGACACCCGGAGTAGAGGGAGCAATGGTGCGCCCCATAATACAGGTGATCCCGATTCAATTCTGTCCTCAGATCATCGAGCTGCCACAATACGATCTGATGCTAGGCACTCGAGTTGGGAAAGAAGTGGAAACTGGGAAATCGCACAAGATGACTTTGCCAATTCGAATGTCACAGAAAGCAGAAATCATGTCACATCAAAGGAAATGCGCCAATGACGGGCATGAAATGGAAAAGAAATGCTCCTTGATCATATTTTGAATAGGAGTTGAAGTAGTTGAAATATTGGGATAAAAACATAGATTATCTTTCGTGAAGGCATGAAAAATATGTATTTGTAGTTGTTTAAGAGACAAAGTGTCTTGGTTATGTTTCTCCCCCATTTTTTTTAACTGTCCAATATGTGGATCTATTATTTTCTTGGCTTTATTCTTTGTGTAAATAATTAGTTGTGATACTGAAAAATCTTTGCTAAATATATTTCGTTTTTAGGCACGGTAAAAAGTGTACTATCTTGTTGTTAATGTGATTACAGGTTTGAGCACAGAACAATTTGAACCTGTTGCATTAATATGTGCTTGAAAAATTTTATTTCGAGAAAGAGGAGTTCTAAAATAGTTTTCTGATGTACATCAAAGACTTCCATATCGTTGTTAACAAGTTTCATTGCAAACCCCTTATTTAGCAACTGACCTTAATAAGTTACTCTTCATGCTGGGAGCATACAAGATACCACTGATAAGTGCTTGATTTTCTTGTCAGGCTTTGATCAAAACATCACAACTCCCTCGGTTGGAATGATTATATTATCAGTAAATCTTATATTTATCTTTCTTGAATCATCATCAAAATTGACAAGCTATTCTTGATAACTTGTCATTTGGTTTGAGCAACCAATGTCCAAATATTAGTTATTTATGCTTTTACGTTCGTCATTTGTTATTGCCATCAGGAGTGTAGGGTTTGTGTATGAGTCACTCTCACCTTGAGCAATCCGTGCCTCATTGTCTGCATTGTATTTTCTTCTTGGAACATGTTTTCTCTTACACTCATCTGCAAAGTGCAAAGTGTACAAATATTTGACAATTATAATGCTGAATATTCTTCTTGTTTAACTGTTTCTCTCCCTCCTTTGTATTGGGATAATCTTATTGGGCCTTAAAATGCAGCTAATGGCAAGAGCAAACTAAGTACCACAATGTTGGGTGAGCGCCCAAAGTTGATCTAGTCGTCCAATTGGATTTTGGTCGCCTCACCCGATTTGGCATCCATGACCCATTTCGTTTATAGGACGTGGCCCACGAGGTGTTCAAGAAGCAACTTAATGAGGAAAACATTCTCCCCAATATTTTAGAAAATAACTGGTCTTCTTCTACTCCCACGATCTTAATAAGGAAGTTGGGGAAATTATTTTTCTCGAGATCTGACCAAGAGATCCTCTATAAATATCCCAATCTCATAATTTTGGAAGATAATTCACTAATTCCACAAATAGATACATAGTCTCTACAATTCCTACATGAGCATAATCTATCTCACTATTATACTTTTAAAGAGTACACCTTTCTATCTTGATGATCACTATTTTTTCTTAATTAATATTTAGGTTGATCATATTTTTTTGAAGTTATCTTGTTGAGATTTCACTTTAACGAATTTTTTTTCTTTCCTATCCACTTTGAATCATCGTTTTTCTTGGATGTTTGAACCTAATCACTCACTTTTTGTTCTTTCAAGCACTATATGCTATCGTGCTTCCAAAGAACACTCTAATTCCTCAACCTTTACGGCATATAAATTCATTAAATTTCTTAATCACCACTGCAATGTAATCAAATTTAAAGAGAGGAGAGTGCATATCAACTCTCGATGACTTGAATCACAAGTTAGAAGTTTTAAAACAAGGTATTCTTTGAACTTCATTTCAATCACAATTTTGACTGATTCGAGTCAAGAGTAAAATGAAATTTTGATTTTGATATTGTACGTGTGATTCAAATCAAGGATATGTTTGATCTGAATCAATGACACCTTGATGAGAATCACAACTATGGATGATTCAAGTCATGACTAAATGAAATTTTGAGAATCATATATGACTGTGTGATTCAAATCATGTAATTGCTTGATTAGAATTGCATGATTTGCTTGATTTGAATCACATTATTTAAATCATGATCTGGATCGAACAATCCAAAATCATAATTTATCACCTTGATTGAAGTCATTCTTTCATATGATTTAAATAATTATTGTAGCATATGATTCAAATCAATTTCTTAATTTTCACCTATTTTGTATCTTTACCACTAGCACATATAAATTCATTTTTATTTTCCTCTCCAGAACAAATAACTCACATTTCTATATACATGAGTGTGAATCCCCAATTCTCTCAAACCAAGAAAAACCAAAAGTGTTCTTTCTTTCAAAACATTATCCATCAAATCAAGTCTATAGAAAAACTTCATAGAATATTAATTTCATGAATTCTATTTAGGAATTGTGTGAGATTATTCTTATAACCAATCATCTTCTTATACTCAATTATAAATATTAAGTGTGAATGATAGTTACAAGGAACATTAGAAATTTAATATTTTTTGTGAAGCTTTTTATGCGTATCTAATTGAAGAATCAATTTGCGACTATGGTATCTGGAAATTGACTTCTAGCAAGAAAAATATCGATTTTTATTTAGAGGAAATTTCAATAAGGTCGAGTGAAGACCACTGTGAATAAAGTTTTAAAGTTTCTAAGATCCTTCAGGAGAATAAATGCTTAGACAAGTGAATTCTAGCAGAGTTAAGTGAAGATTGTTGTGTCTTGGAGCATAACTTTGGGTGTAGGAATGTGAATAGTCCAATATTGAGTGAATATCTTGTGAAATTGATAGTTTTCAGTGTCCTTGCAATAAAAGAAAAATGTAGATTCAGACGTATGTTTGCTTAGCATTTTGACTTAAGTGTTATGTGTTGTCTTCATTGTCCATTGTATAAAATTAATTTGTAAAAAATAGTGGAAATAACATATAAAATGGACACCAAACTTTAATACTTAATTATGTTTATTACACATTCATGGGTTATATTGTTAATGAACACAAAGATGGTTAATGATCACCATTAGAACTTTTTTTCATTGACTA